ATTAATTTGCATCAGGTTATCGATTTTTGTGTCTAAAATTCTTGCTTTTACTATCATTAGTTATCACACTACGACATTGCTTACGTTTGTATTTTTTTGTATTCAAATTATATATATCTGAATATACACGTATATCCATTGATCTATATGCGTGATGAATTTAACTGGGTATAACAATTTGGTTAAATCTGATTAATCGGTCATAATAATCCGGTTAAATCTGATTAATCAGTTATATTACAACTGATTAATTGGATTTAACCAGATTATTATAACCGGATAACCGGATTTAACCGGATATATTATAACTGATTTATATTCGGTTGTAATTTTTAAAAAGTTAATAAAACCGGTTAATAAAAATAAAACCGGTTCCAAACTCTAGTTGGGCTGATTTTGTGAAATCTGTCCAGGTAATATTTTGGGTTATATGTCATAGTACAGTCTCAGATATTACCAAATATAGAAATTGATCTACTATTAGTAAAAGACTATTCTAGAACTGATTTATATAATATTTTTGTTTTTTTTTAAAAAAAAAATCGTTTAATAATAAACCCTCGAATTAATTTTAATATAAATTGTCTTATGACTATATAGTCTAAGAATCTGTCATGATCCCAATAGCTTTAAAAGGTAGTTGTTTATCAAATAAGAAAACAAACGGTGATTGGTGTAAATTTAGTTTCAAGGATTTTCATAGACTAGTCATAGACTTAAATAGAAGTTTCAAGAATTTTCTAATCATACAAAAAAGGAGGTGATCTGCAACATCCAAATTTGATAATATCCGAGACTGTAGTAACGCATGTATGAATTGTGTGCCAGGTTATGCATGTTGCCAATCACACGTCCGAAATGTGCAAAATTCTTTAAAATTCATTGATGTTAAGATTAAAAATTGTATTAAGGTTAAATATTGACAGAAAATATAGTAAAATTATTCAAGGAATACTTTTAATTAAAGCACAAAAGGTGGTTTCTTATGTGAATTTTTGAGATATACTCAATTTTTTGGCTTGTTTTGAATTTTTCTGATCATGTAATATTCACCTGATCTTGAAATCTGATTGGTAGTCTGGCACTAACCTGGCACACAATTCATACATGCCATAGTAACAAACAAATCGGGTTTGCCTAAATGCAATAAAGACATCACATCTTGATATCATTAGATCATGTCTCGAGGACAGCCTATGAAGGTAGAAGGAAAAATTATTCGTCGTCCAATATTTCTTGGATTGTTGTTACCACACAGGACTGCATCTTGAAGGCCTTTATATAATTCATATCTAATCTTCTCCTGATTTTGATGATGAAAGTCTAAACGATTAGTTTCAATCTTGATATACATATCTACTATGTATTGTTGAAAGAGTCTTCTGGCTTTCAAAAGCAAATTATTGTGATGAGGCCAAATTTGGAGCCAGTAAGCATAATACTCTATTGCACTAATAAATTTTCTATGTCACTTTAGAATAACATCATTTTCCTGATCTGAATCATCTTCTTCATTGGGAGCTACATTATTATTAATTTCTTCAGGTTTAAAGTAATATTTCTATATAGAACTTGACGTGAAGCCTATTCTTGTTTACTATGAGAAAATAAAAGTGGATAAGCCAAAAGATCGTAACTTCTACTAAATTCTGAGATATGTACTAACTAGTCTATTGAAGAATACAAAATAATATCACAGCTTTGAATAGTATTGTGAGAAGAATTACCATCAACCCAAATAGCTACTATCTGTAAAGCTGTTAGAGTCATATGGGCGCATTTACAGAATTAAATTAGGGTTTTTTTAGGGTTTGCTTTTTTTAAAATTTTAAAAGCAAATAACT